TGAGGGGCAAGCTTATTTGTACCATATAAAAACAGATGCTGATGTATGGGATGTAGGCACCGAGGGCTGGCAGCGGGGGCTGCGGGGCGGCCGCTGTGAGGGGAGGCCGGGGCTGCCCCGTGCCGGACACAGCCGGTTCCAGCCGGTTCCAGCCGGTTCCAGCTGGTTCCAGCCAGCTCCAACCGGCCCAGCGCAGGGCACAGCTGAGCCAAGATGGTGGTACCTCAGGAGAAATATATTTAAGAAAGGGCAAAACACTGCCTGGCAGAGTGTGAGGGAAAAACAGCGTTAAGAAACAGCCCTCTGAACACCAAGAAGAGAAGGAGGGGAGGAGGTAGAGGAGTCGGGGACAAAGGAGGGAAGTTGAGCCTGGGAAGAAGAGGAATGGGAGGAAGGTGTTTAAGTGTTCAAAAAACGGGTAGATGTGGCACTTCGGGACACGGTTTAGTCTAGTCTACCCTTGATTGGTTTAGAGTGGACTTGGTAGTGTAGGTTAATGGTTGGACTGGATGATCTTAAAGGTCTTTTCCAACCTAAACGATTCTATGATTCTAAGTTTTTGTCTTTGTTTCTTACCATCTGACTCTATATTAATTTGCAATACATTAAAATTAATTTTCCCCAAATCAAGTCTATTTTGCCTATGATGGTAACTGGTAAGCGATCTCCCTGCTTTTATCTCAACCCACATGCTTTTTCATCTTATTTTTCTCTTCCTGTCCTGTTGAGGAGGGGCGGCGAGGGAGCGGCTGGGTGGGCGTCGGGCAGCCAGCGAAGGTCACCCCACCACAACTACTGACAGAAGGAAAAAGATGGCAGGTAACAGCCTGGCCCTAAGCACTAAATTGGTTTAGTGGTAGACTCGGTAGTGTTAGGTTAATGGTTGGACTGGATGATCTTAAAGGTCTTTCCCAACCTAAACGATTCTATGATGCTAAATGCACTCTCCTTTGATCATTTGGAGCTAATATTCCCTCAGGCTGGGAAGACCGGAGACTGGTTTGCATGGTAGCACACAAAGCAACAAAATCTGGTGGAATTCATTCAAGACTGTCAAACGTCTTACCTTGCAGTAACTTCCTAGACTGGTCTCTGCTTTCCAGAAATTCTCCTTTGAACTGGAAAGGTAACAAGGTAAGTAAATCAGGAAAGACGATCCTCAGGCTGCAGCCACCTTTCCCATGCCCCTAAACACTGGGATAGAGACACAGCATGCTGTTAAACATGGGCCAGGAACAAAGACATTTGGGTGTTGAAAGGTGATTGTTACCTTAAAATACATCTTTTTTAAATTAGGCATTTCTGTGCCTAAGTACAGCAATAGTGATAACTGCATTGTATAGGAAGCATGGGGATGATCCTCTCAGAGATCCAGAAAATGATTCACTAAGTGAAACTCACAAAAAATTACTTCGTGAGGGTATGTTAATTGCCGTACTTGTGTGTCCAGTACATTTTGGCAGTAGTTTTATAAATGCTTAAGCTGATCTACACAACTGAAAAGAGTGCAATTAAGAAAGTGGTCACACCTCCTCTGTGGCTTGCAGCCACTTGTTCTTACTGCCTAGCTTGTGGTGGCACCAGCAATCTAGCTGTGTAATTAATTGTCTGACCCAGTAAAAAATCACCCTTAAAATAAAAAGTCTAGAGTTTTCAATCGGTTCAGCTTATGTTGTAAATAGTAAGACATGAAAAGTGGGGAAGGAGACAGCGTAGGCAAGGGAGGCCTGTCTTTTTTGGTGAGAGAGTTGGCTGTAAAACCACAGCCTGAAGTATTCACTATGAATAAGGTACACAGTAAAGACATCAGAAATAAAGTATAGCCCTTGCAGGGGATTTTGTATCTCTCTGCTAAGCATAGAAAAACCTGTCAAATGCCTGCTGTAAGCAGTGTTAGGATCCCTCCAGTCAGTTGGTCTGACTAGTTTTGCCTGAATTTGGCATCGTGCTTTTTTCGGTTAGCATTGCTATACTCAGGTATGAAGAAGTACCAGAAGAAGCACACAGGAGATCTGCAAAATCCCTATGAATAGCTGGCACTTCTTTTGCACCTTCAGAGGTGCTCACCCAAATACTAAAGTTCCATTGGAATTAATTGCCACCTGCCAAAATATAAGCAAACGCAATGCAGAGTATTCTATAAAGATCCCATACAGTCACCAGAAACTGTAACTTGTACTAAAGCCTATATCTTGGACTCACTATTAAATCAATAAGAATTCTCCCAGTGCTTTCAATGAACTTGCAATTCCATTGACAGCGAGTGTTTTAAACCAAAACAGGTTGTATAGGACCACAACCCTTATTCCCACTAAGCAGTAACTTTTGCCTGGCTATCAGAATGATGCTGCAGGCTGATTTTTACATAAATAGGTCTTACCAGAGCAAGTGTTGAGGACAAACCCAAGTCCTTCTTGGAAAATACATCAAAACTGCCTGTCTAACACCTAAGTGCTTTGGGACAGTTAAGAGTGAAACTATTCCTGGGGTTATCATGCGTTCTTAACTAATTTTTATGGGAATTATTAGGCCAGCAACATCGAGGGATGTAGGACAAACGGCAACAAAAATCTGTATATCTTCTTTGCCTGAAGGCTGGTAACAGAGCTGAAGTGCTCTGATGTGTCATAAAAGCATTACCAAAGTCAGCTAAAGACCTAAATAATTACGGCTAGAGAGCTGTACCAGGACTCAAGAATCCTTAATGTGGGGATTTTTTACAAAAGACTTAGATGTAAGCTGATTTCCTCCCTAGTTTTCCCAGGATTTGGAAGATCATGATAATAGTCACTGTGTACAGGCTAGAAACTAAACTGACAAACTGTGTGGGAATATCCAAATAAGAAATGCTACATCCTTAGACAGGGTTCACCCACAACACTGTGTCACACCATGTAGCCCTGCAATGATAGCATAAGCAAAAATGGCTGTAGATGCTCTATGGAGAAGTATACACTCGCTCATATATAAACAGCTGTAGGTGTTTTCATCTCAAACCAAATCAAGAAGAAAAATAAAAAATAACCAAACAGAATACAAGTTCTCATCAATGATTTACTGAAATAGCAGGAAATGACCCATCAGTTGGGCCAGACCCAGAGCATTACAGGGTATGTCTATGTTAGTGGTCTGGAACAGGAGTATGTTTTTAAAATATATTTTTCTAAATTGTGCTTTGGCTGCCATCACAGTGTGATCTTGGAGCGTACTAACTAGATTCATTCTGGATGAAATTAAACTGAAAGATGTGCTCCAAGAGTGCACCTAATGCAGTCTAAGGGGCACCCACTCCACACAACCACTCCTGAGCTAGGCTGAAGTAACCCCGTCCCCAAACAGCTACAGTGTTGATGACAAGGTTCCAGTATCAACTGTTCTTCTGTTGACGTTCATTGCTACTGTGTCACCCTATTTACTAAAAAGCATGACCATCGGCTATGAGGCTTATCACCGACAAGTACTGGCAGACAGTCACCCTCTATATCTTCTGCACCTTTGCTTGTGGAACATTTGTTTGAACAGCATTACACCACAACTTTCCTCATATTCTGGAGAAAAAGTTCACTTAGCAAAGGAATTAAGATCAACAACTGCAGGGTTTTCCAAACTTTCTTATTAAATCAATCCGAGATTAAACCAAGGACTAAACTGTAACTGTGACTGACATTAGGAAGGCAGGTGACAGATAAACCAGCATAGGTCAATATAAATCCTGTATTCCTGGCAATGAGGGAAAAGTATTCATAGTGCTGAGAACTTAGTCGCGCTGAAGCTGGCGAGATCGATGAGCTCTCAAGTGGGCAACTCATTCATCAAGTATCAGACAAGTGTGCTCGCTGCATTCCAAGGTCAAGCAGCATCTTATTTCTCAACCCGTAGCTAACACAGGAATTAAACAATGCCATTAGGGATTGAACACAGGTCTTTTCTTGTAAACTATATCATTAATATAGAACTATAAATAACAGATATGAAACCCCAAGATAACATTGTACAGAGCAGCTTTTCAAAGCATTAAGTGCCGTTTATCAAAGTGATTAAAAACATTTGAAATTCCTTTGACAAGTCGTCTGCTGAAACCATAGATTAAAAAAAAAAAAAAGAGAAGAAAAGAAATAACATTTTGAGTTTGGCAGGTATTAGACCTTAAATAGGAACTATACCAGGTTTGTGTGATGGTTTACTACCTCTCCTTCACATCTCCCTTCTCTGGTTTATAAATGTAAATTAAATGCCTTTGCATAAGGCATATGGGTTAACAAGGATCCCCTTCATATCAAGTATAAAGAATTTATCCTCCAAGAAAAGTAAAAATTAAATTTGCAGGCCCCAACTTTCATTCATGACACAACATGACAACACGACCACATAAAAATAAAAAGTTTATTTGATTAGAACAGATCCTCTAAATATAGCGGTTACAGAAAAATGCCATTTGTCAGTCAATTTGTTTCCTAATTCAGTAATTAAAGTGCAGCTTAGTTATAGAGGCACAATGCTGACATTTCAGACAAGTCACTGATGTCCAATAGAACTGGCAAGAGAAACACCTTCCTCCTACTTTCTTTAAAAGCCACTTGTTTCATTTGCCTACAGTGATATTAAAAACAATAAAGGCCTAAATTGGAAGCAATCATCACACAAAAATCTGATCTGGATCTCAGAAGAAAGTCCTCAGAAGTAGCAGAACATGCTGAAGCTGTCAGTCAGCAACTCACATTTCTTTCTTTTTTGCTCTTCCAAAAGTCTCCAGGAAGACAGCCTGCTTGCTGCCATTTCACTTGCTTAAAATTATCAGAAAAATCTCAAGAAGAATGAATGAAAAAAATAGGCTAGTAGCAAAGTATTATAAAAGATACCTGCCTACTGTCTTTTGTATGAGAGAACACAAGATACTGCCCACTGAAACTCCTTTCGAACACCCCTTCACCTTCTCTCTGCATTGTAATTGTACACGTGCAATCTGACAGTTCTCTTAAACCGAGCACAGCTGTTGTTTTAGCCAGGCACACTAATTCGCTTTTACGTCATAATACATGCGGAGAACTCTCCTCACAGTCTCCACATATTTATCATCAGGAACAGGTTTCCTCTGGCTTCCAGGCTCTAGAAATTTCTTGATTGTGGGGATACTGCTTATCCTTGCTTTAAATGCCTAAAAGGTAAACAGTAAGTACATGGCATTTAAAGAACAGAAAGTAACACAAGCAAAAACAATTTTACTGATTTGTGCAACATCCTTTAACAAGTTGTATGTGGAGGCAAGACAAGAAATATAGTTTTAGCCGTAGATGAATTTTACTCCCCCTCACCCCAACTTTGTTATTTTAAACAGTAATAAAACAGCCCTCTGTCTTGTATTGATATGGGATGAAGTGGAAACAGTTATCTGTAGTTTCAGATGTGTACTTTACTCAAATCACTTCTTGTGATCCAGCAAATATCTCCTGCTTAAAGGTATCACAGAACTGGTGAGGGGAGGGGAAAAAAAGGGAGGGTGAATTTCTTCAGATCTGTACAGGAGTTACTCCAGAAAGTAACAGATTCTCTAGACGAAACATATCACAACGTTCTTCCTAAAGCAAGCAGAGCAAGACTACAATGAAAGAGGAGTGACAAATGCTCGTTTTATGGAATCATCTACACATAACAGACTTTGAAATAGCATTCATCACATTTCCAGCCATATGAGTGTATTGTTACTGTAAGGTACCTGTAACTGAGGAAAGCCTGAGAGTGCATCCGACTTCTTCTCTTCTACCATTAAAATGGCTTCAAGAAGATGAACATCTGCCCAGCTAAAACTGTTGCCAACAAGAAAGTCCTGCCCATGGTCTTTCAAAACCTAGAAGGGTCATAAATGAAAATGTCTAGATGTGGGTAGCCAGCTGGGGTTGATGTTTTCAAAATGCACAGGCACACCTCCTTTGACAATAATTGCTGCCTCCTCTTCTTTTCACCTTTCTCTCCTGTGCGACTAGGGATGCTACCAGTGTGGGGGATGTGGGTCCAGTGCCTGCAGTCACTGATCATTTTATGGAATATCTATGAGCAGTCCTCACAGTGGCAATCTAAAATCCCAGGGTTTCTATTACCTATCCTTCCTTCCTATAGCCCTAGGTAACCCCACATACTGGACTACAGGGTTAGATACCTCCTTGGTATTCATAGCCTAATAAATCTTGAATTTTTCTATATGTAGTTACAGCCTCAATAGGAAAATAGAGAATGTAAAAGAGAGGCGATCAGCCTAAAGCATTAGGGCTAGGATGGAACAAGTGGAATCTAGGGCAGAATGAACTCTGGCAGCCATCTATAGGCGAGCTGGTATTTAAGTGGGAAACTGTCTTCCCTTTAGTCTTTAAAACAGAAAAGCAGCTATTTCTGCCCGGCCATCCTGTCTGTGTATGTTAATTTCCATCGAGAGCACCTCTTGGGTCCTGTCTCTCAAAGGATCAGTTAGAGAAACACCAAGATTCCAGTATGGCTTAAGCAGCAGACCACTCAGACTAGAAGACAGCAGGGATGGCTGTGTATTACTGTAGTTAAAAAAACATGTAGATGTATTTGAAATGTTAAACAAAACTGATAATTAGCAATTCTAAAACTGCATTGCCTTTGCAATGCAAGTTACACAGTTTCATTTCTCCTAAAGCCAGGAAGTTGCTATTTTAACTGTATATAGCTATGTTTACATGTTCTTTGGATCGTAACAGTTTTGAGCCAAAGGGCATACTTGGACCCTTCAGTCTGAATGTTGATGCTGCTCAGACCATGAAATCTCATTTAGGAATTTCTGCATTTAACCCACCCCAACTTGTCTCATACTGCTCTGACCTCCCTCTCATCTCTCCAGCCAGGAGACAGTATGATGTCCTGGTTTAAAGTACTGCGCTGACACCTTTCTGTTTCTTCTGCTTTTGGTAAAATACCCAGTGTTCCCATTGTAATCATTCCAGAACAATGGAAGGAAATGATCCTCCTACATACCTTTTCATATGCTGGGAAATACCTGCTTGTCGCCTTTTGAACTATAACCGCACGTTGTTTCTCTTTATCCTCAGCCGATAAGAATGGGAACATCAGAATGAAGCCCATAAGGTCATCGGTTCCTCCAACATACATATCAATCCTTAAAACCAAAGCAAACAAGAACCTTAAATAAGAAGGCACCTTCATAAGCAGAGTTTTCTTAGATTTGTGTTGTGATAGTAAAAGTTTAATTTCCCACCTCATGAAAATTATTTTTGCAGTTAAAAAAAAAGAAGTCACAGTCTGAGTCTCACTTATATTTCTGGTGTTGTTGGCACTTCTCTTGCCTCATTGTGCAGGATTAAACAGGATTGTACAGAGGTTAAAAAAGTTTAACTTTGGTGTTACAGATCACTTCAGAATCACCAAAGAAACACACAGCACCACAAGAAGATTGATCCCCAACTGGCTTAGTCACCTCGATGTATCCCACCGTCAGGGTTTCATCCAAAGTCCAAGTGGTGCCAAACAGATTAATAACAGGGTTGGAAACAAGTCTACCGTGTTCTGCACCTAGCTAAATTATTAGTATAGCAGTTCTTCAGATCAACCCTTTTATCCATTTTTCCAGAGCTCTGACACCAGGTTTTGTACTGTAGACAAGACCCAAATTTAAATTAAGTCCTCATGAATATGAATAAAATATCTGGTAAAATAGTCTAACAAAGTCTTCTAACCATCCTATGTCATAAGAGATTTGAATTCCTGAAAAAGACTAACTGCAGTTTTTTGTTGTTAAGCAACAGCTTCTCAAAAAAGCCTCTATAAGGATTAAACGTATTACGTGCAATAAGAAGCTATCAGATATTCCTGCAAGCCTTAATGTATGCCAGCTTCTCGCCTGCAATCTATCTGGTCTTCCAAAACTTCCAAAACCACACTGTACAAGACCAGCTATCCAAAATACTTAAACCTGGAGCTAATCACAGCAATCCTTCCTTGAAACACTGATGCTCCCTTCCCCCTGCCCAAGAAGAAATCAACCATTTATATTTGCTGGTAAGACAGCAGGAATAGGCTCCAGGCTAAATCTAAAACTCTCTGGAAAAGAATTCTGTTTGAAGGAAGAGGCATGCAAGGAATGGAAACTACAGGAAATGATGGGTTATTAACACCACAAAGACACTGATAAGCTACAACTGAGGCTTCTATCTGAATATTCTTTCTTTTTGTTATTTCCCTGAACCTGCTTCAGCCAATTCTTCCAACAATTTGCACCGTTTAATGGCAGTTTATTGTAAAGTATCTGTTAGATGCTTTGCTAGTTGACCTTTAGTTTTCCTTCTTTTGAAAAACAATAGGAAATGGACATTTAAGGGCTACATATTGAGATAGCCCAATTACACTTTTTTTTCTTCACACAGCCACAACGTCAAGACCTGGATTTAATTTAATTTCACATGAAACCAGAAGTTTTTCAACAGCTTTTAGCTCTTCTTTCCCCAACTCCCAAAGACCTAAACCATGCATGTTTTACAATGCTGTGGAACATCGTGCAACCACAGATAACATGAATGACAGATCTTATTTTGCAGCCAAAAGTTAAAAGCGAACCATTGCTCTCCAAAAAATGTTCTGTTTACAAAAATAGTTCAACATTTACATGCCAGTCACCTCTTGAATACCTCTGTCAAGCTGTATGAATCTTTTAGTAAAGCATAATAAGCCCCTGCTTCAAATATTTTTATGTAAAAATAATCTAATTAGAAGAGATCAGTTGGCTCGCATCTAACTGTGACCTGTAAGGCTCACTGCAAGTTGTGTGTCACTGAGGCACACAGGTGATTCTCTGGGTGTGCAAGTATGCAGTTAATTCTAGATGTATCTAAGCTACTATAATAAATACAAGAAGAGTAGTAGTGTTACAGTACAGGGCTCTCTCCTTCAGGTCCTTCCCGTAGAGGTTGTACTTTGCTGCTATGTAGCTCAGGATGGCTCTAGTCTGCACCATCTTCATCCCATCGATCTCCACCATGGGCACTTGCTGAAATAGCAGGGATCCGCCTAAAGGGAAAGCCACACATTATTCTACTGGATCGAGTAACTCCACGTCAGCTTTCTTGCTGTCTTCAGAAGATCATTACTTTTATGGTCAGCTTGCTGTGGGTTGTCGTTATATTAAACTGGGGTTCTTCCATGCAAACAATAAATTACAGTGGTGCAGACAAATTAAACTGCAGAACACGATTATTGTGGATTAACATCCTTGCTTTAAAAAAATTTCACTGAAGTTGCAGTCAGGACTGTGTACAGCAGCTTTTGTGCTGAAATTGAAATACAGCAGAGACAATCACACTAAACATATCAACTAAGAGTCTAATTCTAAATACATTAAAAAAATTCTGTTCCATTATTTAAAACACAGTTGAAGCAAATGTCAGATTCCCAAATTTCTCCCTTACAACCAGTATCTTAAGCTAAATCAGGACATTCAATGAAGTTTTAGGATAAGTTTTGCAAGTTACTGAAGCCTAGAGTAAGTTTGTGGGACCAGGTGGGACACGTAGACATACGGAGAACAGAACAACCCAGAGGGCTGGGAAACGCTCCAGGTTGGAAAGACATTCCATTTTCAGTTGCATCTGTCCACACATGGGAGAAAAAAAAAAAAATCAGCCTCCACAGCTGTTCACAGCTCTCAGTTTTACTCCCCTCTGCTGTGTGGAAAGAAAGTCCCACACAGTCTTCAAAGTCTTCTCTTCACATGTCTTCTCTGAGACCAAGTAAAGTCTGCTCACGCTTTTCTTGAGGTTTCACGTGGACTCACCTTGCAGGAGCTTCTCATACTGCTCTCGGGTTTCCAAAAACTCTTCTTCAAACTGGCAAAAGAGAATGAGGAAGAAGAGGAAATAAGTGTCTTTTCACATTTCTAGAACAGATAAACTTTTTAAGCATCATAAAAGGAAGAGAATATGCATCATGGTTCCTTCCATTCCAGAGATGGCTCTAAGGGAGAAAATACCAAGGGTAGAAGCACTGGCAAAACCTCTTGGACTGTCATATTTGCAAATGCTGCTAAAGGCAACCCTAGCAGAAAAACAGGCAATAAGAACTAGAGTGAGGATGGTTTGGTATTGAACAGGCAATTTAATGTGAGACAGTCAACAATACAGACTAGGCTGTCCTTAAAATGCTTTCTGGTACGTGGAAAAAAGCTCTGCTGTGGGATATTTTGATTTGAGAGTTAGAGAGGAACAAATTCTTAGGAAGTTAAAACAAAGCTTTTACAAAATAATGTAAAAGTATTATGCCCAGCAGGAAGTTTAGTACAGAAGCATGTTTGGGACACCAAAGGATGAATTATTCACTAGATGAGAAACAAAAAGATACAGAATTGCCTGTGATCAGAATGATGTAGTTATATTCAATATGGTTGAGGATGGCTGGTCCAATCAGTGCTGCTTACGGAGGAATTCAGTTCAAGACTAAGACACCGAAGTTAGATGTAAACACATACATGTAAACATGTGCCATACATGTCTATAGTCAATGTAGACCACGGACACTAGAAAATGATTGAGTTTACCAATCCCTAGATGCCTAGCTATGGACTCCCAAGGATCCTTCCTCAGTCAACCTCTCTCAGAATATCTGTGCGACTTATGTTAATAATTAAGACTTGCTATACTAGGGAAACCCCAGAAGATTAGGCATACTCATACAGTGCCAATGTTCAACCATAGTAAGTGTGATCACAGAGTCTAAAATTCAGAACCCAGGTTTCTGCTGATGAAAAGCTGGGAAAAGGCTATCCCAAGGAAAAATGTAATAATTGGACCTGTCAACAGGGGTTTTTTTAAATTAAAAAAAAAAGGGGGAGAAGGAATTAAAACATAGGAACAAATGATGCAGGGAAGCAACCAGTTGTGTCTTCTGTAAGGCCTGCAAATAAAGACTGGTGGTCTTTTTGAAAAACTCAGCTTCCTTGTCTCAGTACAGGGATAACCGTATGAAGTGTAACAGCCTACTATATAAAAGAGGACACTTGGAGCAACTACTAGTCCTGAATTATCAGTTTATCACCAAGACAGATAGTGAACGAATATGTAAATTATATCCCATCCAAAAAAAAAAATCTTAGAGTAGTGTCTTGCTTCTCTGGTTTACCCAAATATTTTTCTCCCTGCTCTGAGATTTCTAATTTCTAATTTCTACACATGTAGGTCAGTTTTTTCACTTCACCCCATTACACCTCATCTAAATGGTGCAAGTACGACAAAATATATTTCATGCTGTAGCTTATTGTGGAGGATGCAGCCAGTGGAGTGAAAAACAAGATAAAAATCTGTGTGCGAGCATCCAACTGAAAACAGAAAGACTAGAGAAAGTAAATTCGTTGCTGTTGTACTTGGCACAGATAATACCTGTGATGCCAGGAACAGACCTGTCCTTCAGCTCAACAGCCCTGGTCAGTAACCAAATGCTTAATTAAGCATTACACATTCTTGCATTAAGCAAGAAACTGGTTTACAGTGTCATTGCTCAGAAGACATGTAACTTGAAGCCATACTTTTGTGTGCCTAAAGTAAGAGTGCTTAATTACACTGAATAGCCAATGCTCATTTACTACTTCGTCTTGGAATGCCTTTTCTTTTTTGGTTAATAACCTGTGCTCTGCCTCAAAGACAAGCTTACCAATGTGCAGCTTAAAGTTAAAAACACTAAAGCAAACCTCCGCCCCAGCCGCAGCTAACAACCAGCGAACTGACTCCATCTTGCCTCTTCCATCAAAGTAGTAAAGTTTTGGTTTTCCAGCCATGATTTCAAACTTCCCGTTACCTAAAATAGTTATAAAAGACATTAAGTTAATAACGATACAAAAATCTGATGGCAGCTGGAATAACGGTTCACAGCTCACTCACAAGACAAAAATTTAAGTTAATTTTTGACAAAACATTTCAGTAAAGTTCCAGTCTAAACTGATTTGGTTTTACTGCTGCAGTCAAGTTCACAGTATTTCATAGTCTTTTAATTCCCCTGAAATTCAGAAAAAGTAAGCATCAAGTTGCTAAGTAGGAGATAACAGAAAAAAATAAAGTCACCACTAAGGAAATCCTTAAAACTTGTAGAAAAATGTAAGTTTTAGCACTAGAGTTACTCAATCACCACTGAAAGCCAAGTTTCAATCAAAGGGGAGAAGATGCAGTAGACAGGTTTTTTCAAATTTGGCAGTCCTTATATCAAAGAATGCCAAAAGTATTGAAACATTAATTTTATGCATACTTATGTATGCATACTTATGTATACTTAAGTATGGGAAGGTATTTTCAGTGTCTCCCACTTTTCTTTCTTGCTGCGGCGATCCAGGGTAAGTATGTGATCCGGAATCAGTAGAAACTTCAAAAGAATGACCAGTTTCTTCTGTAACAATCCAGATTAAAATACAAAGATTCAGACTGCTGCACTACTTATCTTTCTAGTGGTTGCATTTCTTTCTATTAATAAACCCTGCTGCTAAGCAAAACTTTATAGACTTTTCAGCTGATCAAATACACCGCGCTTTGCAAGCAGCATTTTAGTTCTTGAATGGCTTCATAAACGAGGCTATTGCTATTTTTTGAATAGACCAGTGTTTAGGTCTCAGCAG